ATTTACTTAAAATACATTACTTGCACATGATAATAATGCTTAACTTTTCTGACCTCTTTGTTAATTTTTCTGCAATGATTACAAATGTAAAAATTTAACAATCTCAAAACACATCAAATACTTGATGCTGATGCTCTAGATATTATTCAAAGAGATGAATTATAGCACACAGTATGTGTGCTGTTGGAGAAAGGTGAGCAAAAGGGGGGAGAGGCAGAAGATGACAGAGATAAAAAGACAGAGATAGAGAGGGAATTGGAGTGAGATTTGATAGAAAGAGAGCACGATAGCATCAGAGCATTTAGTATGCACAACAGGAGGCCAACACTTTTATCCCCTCTGTCGATGTCTGGGAGTCCTCTGCAGTGAGCAGTCTAAACTTTCTCACATAAGCCTTTGCCTCAAGCCATGAGCGGAGATATTTCAGTCACATTCACTGAAGCTAAGGGGGAAAATGCCTTATTACTTAAGATCAAAGGTTGGAGTCTTCTGGAGGAGAGAAGGCGTCTGATAGAATTTGCATTAGGAGTTGAAGGCAGGTCATTTTCAGTGAATAGAGAGGCATCCAGACAGAGGCGGAGAGTCATTGTTTTCCCCGCTTTTAAGATCACTTTGTTTGAAGAAAGTTTACATGGGTAAAGCTACATGAAATCTGCATAGGACTATTAGGAGTGAAGAGTTCAATCTTTTTTTTTTTTGTTAAGTCACCTCACCCCGTAATACAAAAAGAAGAAAATGACCTTGACATTTAATTCTTAATCTTTACAGTAAATTCTTTGAAATGCAATGTAACAAAATATAAACCTAGCCAAACATTAAAGGGCTGGCATTTTCTATATTAACAGCATATTCAACACTCCACATACAAAGACTAAGGCAGTGTTCAAACTGAGTTTCAAATGTACAGTATGAAAAAACGCAGCCCTCTCCATTCATTGTGTTCACTACAGCTGGCACCTGCACTGCAGGGGGGCTCGGGCAAAACATTGCAACCCTGCAGGGTGAAAAAGTTGGACCTGGCTCAACTTTCACCACACTGGACAGTGACATCATCCGGCAAAGGCGCTGCCTTGAACAGTCATATATGGGGGACAATCGGGACATAGGCATCTATGGGAAGAAGACTCTTGTTTACCTTGTTAGCATGAGCATTCTCTGCTATTCATTTCAATGCATTTTCATTAGTATATTAAACTGTGTTTTTAATCTATCACTGCCAACACACTGGTGGTAGAATTGGTGCTAAGGTAGAGTAGGCTACATTAGCAGCATGGCAAGCAAAACACAATGGTGTGTTAAAACACAGCAAGGAGTTGCAGTTTTACCGGATCAGTCTGAATGCCTGCTCAAACCAACAATGAAATACCTCTGCTCACTGTTGATGTCCATCAGTCCTGGATTAGTTTGTTCGTCTGTGCCATAGACCTCCATTGTTGTTCAAAAACAATTGAAAACTCATCAGAGAAACACAGCACTGCACTGACGTATTTCCTTATTACAAAACACCAGACCCTTATATTTGTTGAGAATATCCGAAGATCTTGTGCATGGGCCCTTGACTCTCGCTTACTTCAGACACTGTAAAAAGTTATGGCTGTTCAGATCCTTTGGGGCAAAATGTTTTAAAAATATTAGGGTCTTGTGCTTTGTAATGAGGTAACATCTCAACCAGTGCAGCAGTGTCTTTCCCTGATGTGTTTTTAATCATTTGTTGCACCATCTGATAAGAAAATTCTTGATGTCCAACAGTAGCCTGCAGGTTGAGGTCATCCTGCTTCTAGACACTGTTAAATGGAGCTGTGGCCCCCGCATGGCACTGCTGTCAGATGTCTCAGCCTCCGCCAGCAACTCTAGCCTTGTAAAGAGGCCAGAGCTGATGGGTTTTTAGTCTCCTTGGGCAGCCAGCTGGAAAAAAATTGGAATGATCTCATGGTGTGTTTTGGGCCGTCCCTCCTGTGTGAGCCCTTTTCCAGCTTACCACTCCATGCCCTCCAGTTGCCATTGCCTTGCTTTGTTCTGTCATCATCACACTGTCAGAGGTACTGTCACTGCATCATATTATATGGTGGGACTTTCCAGAATCTTACCAGAAATAATCAAATTAACCCCTTCTGATAGTAGATTCATTATTAATTATTGAATGTATTCCTATTTTCATGTATAGTCTCGTGTTCTAAATTAGTTCAGTCCTTTGTCTTGGAGTGTCTTGACAAAAGAAACCTATATACATAAATAGGATGACTTACTTCAGCCTATTTTCATCCTTTTTTAGCCATTTCTCATTGTCAGTATTGCAGTTCAAATATTTACTGTACCTTTGCTCTCCCTCTCTTCATTATATGTAAATATTCTAAATAAATAATCACATCTGAGACAAGCTGTCCTGACTCTGCTGTGAATAGATGTGAGACTTAACATCTAGAAATATGTTTCAGGTATTTTCTTGCACATGTTAACTGGGATGTTACCTACAGCCTCAGTGAGGCACAGTATAGTCCTGGACTCCTACCATATCACACAATACATGACCGTCTGACTGGAAGTGGCTATTTCTGTTTATTTGGAGCATACTTTTTATACACTGTGTATAGTATCTATAGCCATCATTTGCTTCTTTAAGCCAAACCTCCTACTAATACATTCCTTTTTTTCAAAATATTGCCAGGATAGAAGACAATTGAAAGAAATCCACAGAGAGTTGTGTGAAACCAGGAATCAGCTGAGAGAATAAACCGATAAGAGGGAGGTTGAGAGGGATCGTGACATCTAATTATTTTGTATGTGTGACTGTGGAGAGAAAATATATACTTCAATGTGTGAATGAGATATGATTTACTTGTGAGGGAAGATCCTTGTCTCTTGCCAAATCTTATTCATGCTAGAAGGAACTCTAGCTTCCTCTCAGCGTGAGTCTCTTTTTCAAAGTCTCAGATCGACAAGCCTTGTGTTTCACGGCATAGAAATGCTTCTGATGATCAAGCTAATTTGAAAGTGTGCTCTTGAAGTCAGAACACTTTATGATAGTTTTATGTGAGAAGTGCCTTTTAAGTAATAATCCAGGACAAGGACTTGTATCACAGAATACAGTGCACTGATTCTTTTCAGTGCACTACATTAGGTTATATGTTTACAACAGCATAAACAGTGGTTTCTATTAAATGAAAAACAGCAGCAGTGAATAGTTTAAAATAAACATGGTAACAGGCGCAGTGATAGCATGACAAAATAATGAGAAATACTGTGTCTGCTCAAACGGCATAGCATAAGCAGCACATTAGCAGAAAAACAGCAGTTCTGGTGCTCCATGTGTGTATCTACACAGGAGGCCTTCATACTCAGTACTGAGTTGTAAGCCAGCTGCGCCAGTACACGACCACTGTAGTTACAGGGTGCATGTAAAGGCATCCTCTCAGTCTGCAGCTGCTTGCATATCAGCAGAGAGCCC